TGGGTGCCTCCTCGCAGCCTCTGGCAATCCATGGCTTAGGAAACCCCTGGGTTTTGGAATCTCTGCATCCAAACCAACACCACCAGATCAGATCCCAGCTGTGGGAATGAAGGAGGGAAGGGTCTGTTGATGGCAGGGGATGGCAAACCATCGGTTTTACAATCTTCCTCTAAAGACTAAGCCCAAAGTGTGGAATTCATCCTGCTAACTCCAGACCTTGGCACCAAGTCACCAGTCAGGAGCAGGGAAGAGGTTGAGGGAGTCTTGGGTGCCTCCTCGCAGCCTCTGGCAATCCATGGCTTAGGAAACCCCTGGGTTTTGGAATCTCTGCATCCAAACCAACACATCAGATCCCAGCTGGATCTGCTCACCACACATCACTCTTCTCTCACTTAAACTTCAGGTCTCTGCAACTCCCTGTGAGCACTTTGCAGGCTGCGTGTTCCGAAGGGTTCGGAGTTTGGGGCAGCTGAACTCAGACTTGGCTCCTGGGAAAGGTTAATTAGGACAGGAAAAAGAAAGAGTCAGTGAGAACCTGACGAGAAGAGCATGATAATGTTCCTGCTTTGAGTTTTTTGTCCTGCTGTGGTATTCCAGAGGAATATCCCATTGGGAGATGCCCAGCAGTGGAGCTTGCTGTGACACACAACTGGCTCACTGCAGTGAGGCTTTTCACCTGCTTATCTCTGCTTATCTTGTCTTTTGATTTTCAGTTTCCTAAAAGACGTGGTGGCAGATAATCATTAACTTTCTTCTGTAACAGATCAGTGCCTACATGAAATCAGATCACAGCTGAGTTTCACTGGGTCTGCTCAGTCCAGAAATGAGTGTCCTTCCTCTGCCAGTTGTGAGGAAGGGAAGGGGGAGAGAACAGGCACAGAGCTGTTAACTGTCCATAGTCATTAGATCACCTAAGTATGATTAATTTTTCTCAGAATGATCTGGTTCTTCCCCCAAAAGCCTCTTGCACTGATGGTAAAGAGGCCCCAGAAACTGGTATATGTGTAAAGATACAGGGAATGAGTTACTCACTGCCTACACATGTGCTGAGCTATTCAAGGCCGAAACTTTTGCTTTGCAGTTCTGGATGACCCAGAAATATTCTTTCAACACGAGGGATTGGCCAGAGCAGGTTTGCCCAGCTGAAGCATTCCCAACTCCTGCTTTGCTCTCATGCATCCCTCGGTGGTGACAGGGGCTGGAGCTGTCCTGGTCCTTTGTCTGCTCTAGTCTAACCAACCTCAGGGCTGTGTCTGCTCCTCTCTCTTCCTTGGGGCAAACATCCTGAGACCAACAATTTCTCACTGTCAGAAGATTTTCTGGGTGTACCTGGTGGGATTCACTTCTCCTACAGCTGCTCTTAACTTGCTTACAGTTAGTTGCTGATGCTGAAGGAGATTCAGACACACTAGGTGAGATTTATGTGTCCAAACTTACAGACCCTTCTGCCACAGCATGGTGTGAACTGCACCCCAGGTGCCCACCCAGGACACCTGAGCTGGGGCCCAGGTGTCCACCCAGGACACCTGAGCTGTGGTCCAGGTGTCCACCCAGGGCAGCCAAACCATGACTTAAAACACCTTATTCTTTCCCTTTGCTGTCGAGAGATCCTGAACAGCTCATCATGTGCCAAGGTCTGGAGTTAGCAGGATGAATTCCACACTTTGGGCTTAGTCTTTAGAGGAAGATTGTAAAACCGATGGTTTGCCATCCCCTGCCATCAACAGACCCTTCCCTCCTTCATTCCCATGGAGCAATTCCCCTCTCCTCCTGTTCCCAGGTGCTGCAGGACAGGGACAGCAGCAAACCAGTTCCTCACAGGCTGAGGGATGTGGGGCTGACACGTGGCTTTAGGGCCAGGCTGACTCACTTGCTGTTATGGAGTTTTGGTGTCTTTTTATAAACAAGGTTTGGTTGCAGGGACTTTTGAGAGGGTTTTTTTTTTCCTTAATATTTTGAGGAACAAAACGTCAAGAACTTTAAGAAAATACCCACAGCAGCCAACTGCCATCAAGGGGGAAAGCAAGAAAGCATAAAGAAATGCACCTAAGCTGCCTGATAAACTGTAGGACACGGCTCACCTCCTCTCATTTGCTTCAGCCCACTGCCCAGACCACAAGAGAACTGTGAGGAGAGGCAAGTCCAGTCCAGTCTGACTGAAACCAGTGACGTAAATGCACTCAAACTGGTGCAGGAGGAGCAGGAGGCAGTGGGGCCTCTCTGGTTGTGCCTTTGCAAATGTGTAACCTGAGGTGGGGACACAGCAAGAGAGGGAGAAACAACACAGAGTTTTGTAGTATTGAAAAGTCATTTGACATTTAAGACACTTGAAACAGTAACCAAGAGGGGGAGAAAACAACTGTGATGAGCTTCAAAGGAATGGTATCAGCTGAACTGTTCCAGGAGTTGGTTGAGTCACTTTTTCACTCTTGTTTTGTTAGACCTTCACAGGGTGATAAGAAAACAGAAGAGAACAGAGCAGCCCTCACCAGAGTCAGTTAAGTCAGGGCTCAGCCTGAGGTTTGCAAACCAAACCATGGAGAGCAGCACAATGGTGGAGTTGGGTTTAGGTTGGTGCCTTTCCTCTGCAGAGTGAGGCTGGTTCTTCTCCTCTGCTTCCTTTTATCCAGCTTCCAGGGAGGTCATTGCCTTCCAGGCCTCAGCTGAGCTGGGCCAGCACAGGTAGGTATCATCCATCCACAGGTAGATATCCATCCACAGGTAGATATCCATCCACAGGTAGATATCCATCCACAGGTAGATATCCATCCACAGGTAGATATCCATCCACAGGTAGATATCCATCCACAGGTAGATAGATATCCATCCACAGGTAGTTATCACCCATCCACAGGTAGATATCATCCATCCACAGGTAGATAGATATCCATCCACAGGTAGTTGTCATCCATCCACTGGTAGTCACAGCACCAACTCCAGGAGTCCCTGGGAATCCAGGCTGCCTGGAAGGTGGATCAGAAGACTAAAGACTGCTCTACCTGGGTTTTTGCAGAGTCAGGGACCCTGTACCTGTGCCCCAGGGAGGACAGTTGCAGTCTGGGCTTGCTTAAACCCACCAGTGGGTTTCAGTCATTTTTCAGCATATTTCCTGTGTAATATGCGAAAGTCAGAGCTGTGCCTCGAAGGGGAGACGACCACACCAGACATTAAACCTCTTCTTCCTGCAGCCTGGGGCTCATCAGAGTGAAAGCCACTGGCCAGACAGAGCATACAGAAGCTCCCCTCTCACCTCTTGGGCCCAGCCTTGGTCTCCCACACACCTGAGTAACCTGTGCTAAGGGTGCCCTGGTGAACCTCCCTGATGCCCCCAGGAGGGCTTGGAGGAGGTTGGGTGAACAGAGCTCAGCACACAGCTCAGCACACAGCTCAGCACACAGCTGCATGAGCAGAAAAGATGAAAATAAGGTGGGGAAGACAAGACATAACTTCTAGGAGAGCTCAGGGGAAGCTCTCGCACAGGTCTGGGGATGAGCAGTACGAGTTTTCACACGTGGCTGAGGATCTCTCACCCACACATCACCCTTGTCTGTAAACAAACACCCCCAGTCGCAGCCAGCAGTGAGTATTTCTGTTGTTGGGGATGCTATTGCACGTGAGTTAATGTGGGGACAAGCTGCAATGTGTGCAGTTCTGTGAGCAGTGGAAGATCATCCTCCTGGTCTGGTGTGACACCCGAGCAGGAGCCTGGCAGAGCAGGGGAGGGCACAAAGGAGCTCAGCAAGGAAACAGAGTAGAGCTGTGTCCAGCAGACACTAAGCACAGGAATTAGTCACATGCATGAACCACCAGGCCATGAGGAGCAAGGCACAGCTCCTAGGAGGAGCACACACTGAAAGCAAAAGGCATCTCCTTGCTCAGGGTTCCCAGACCAGGTAACTCACAGGGAGTGAGGGGCTGTGGCATGGGGAGCAGCCAGGGACATCCTGGGGAAACAGCGTGATCACAGGATTACAGAATTTTAGAGGTTGGAATGGACCTTACAGATCACCCAGTCCCAACCCCTGCCCTGGCAGGGACACCTCTCCACTAGAGCAGGATGCTCAAGGCTCATCCAGCCTGGCTTTGGATGCTCTGCAGCCAGTGCCATTTGTCCCTCAGGGAGGGACACATCTCCTGCTCACACCAGAGCAGAGCCCACAGCTTTCTCACTGTCTTCAGATCACCTTTCAGCCGAGCAACTTTCAGTGGCAACTGCCCAGGCAGACGCTGGTATGAGCTTTAAATAGAGAGAGGAGAAAGCTTTCCCGGGCCCCTGCCCTGCTAACCACAGCAGGAAGAGCTGCTCGGCTGAGATTGCTCTCACCCCCAGCACATCTGGCTCTGAATTCAATTTGTCCTCCCAGCTGTCGCATCCTCTCTCTCCACATCCCAAGGCAGCAGAAGCCAACTCTGACGTTTAGAGATGAGCAATAAATTTCAGCCAGTTCCAGTTCTGTCTGTCCCACAGGGTGCTGAGCTTTCCTCCCTGCAGCTCAGGCACCACAGGGGCACAGCTGGGCTGGGTTTATGGCCCTCACAGCTGGATGTTTTCACGTGTGCTCAGGCACAGGGACAGGCTGCTGGGTGTCAGCAGGGAAAGGAGTGGATGGAATACAAATGAGAGCTCTGTGTCTGAGTGAAGCGTTCTCAGCTCAGCCTGCACTGGATGGAGCTCAGAGCAGTCTGGTCTAGCTGCAGATGTCCCTGCTCCCTGCAGGGGGTTGGACTGAATGACCTTTCAAGGTCTATTTCAACTTGAACCAATGATTCTGTGAAGCTGCAGGGACCAGACTCCTGCGATTTCAGCCGTGCTCTGACAGTAACTTACGTGACCTTAGGTTATCCAGTTGGTATCTTCAGCAGGTTTTGGTTTCCCCAGCTGTGGGGACTTTGCAGGGTTTAGGATACCATGGTTGATGTGTGAACCACTGCTTTATCAGAGTGAGAACCATGTGGAAACCCCCACTCAGCCACTAACACAGCGTCTCCTTCTTTCCCAGGCAAGCTGCTAAAGGTCACCCTTGTTTTCAGCCTGCAGCTCGTGTTTCAGGTAAGAAGTTTTCAACAACATTGCTGAAATCCAACTGCTTTGTGTTGTGGGTAAAGAGATCTCAGAAGCTCAGAGCAGCCACCCACAGCCCCAGAGATGTGCAGGGTCACTGCTGCTCACCCCAGGATCAGTGATGGGAGGGGAGAGCAGAGCCCTGCTAGAGGAAAACAAACAAGAGGAACAAAACCAAGGAGAGAAAGAAACAGTAACAAATCCTGCGATTTCCAGACTGCCTGGGCTGTCAGAGGCCCCTGCAGCCCCAAAAATGAGCATTTCCAGGGCAGCCAGGAATCTCCTACACCGATCACAGCAAGCAGCTGCCTCCCTGCTCCCTGCAAATCCCTGGTCAAGGTGCTGAGCCCGAGGAGGAAGAGTTCAGCATCTTCCTCTGCCTGTTCCTGTCACCCTGGCCCAGGGAGAGCCCCAAGCACTATGACCTGCTGCCAGTTTGGAGTCCTGGCCCCAGTGCTCACAGTCCCACGGCCTCACCAGTCACCCCTGGGCCCGTGGGGCTCCCAGGGCTCAGCACAGCAGGCAGAGCTGAGCAGCCCCTTCTTTTCCCTTTCACTGCTGGCGGCCTGGAGGCAGGATGTGGTGAAAGCCAAGCTGCCGAGATGGAGAGCGCGGAGATGCTCAGCGATAGCGGGAGGAGGTATCCAGGGGAAACCTTTCATCTCTGCACGATGGGGAGAAGGTTCTGGAGACTAATAAGTGACAGAAAGCAGGGCACGGATACCACAGGCTCCCTCTGCTCTGCAGGTTATGGCAGTGTAGGAAGATGAAACAAGAATAATCAGAACTGAAATCAGGGGCCTGAATGAAGCTGTGACACCGTATCTGTGCCGGCACGGAGCAGCTTCCTGCGGCACTTCCTCACAGCCTCACTGACACCTTCAGTTTAGCTGAAGGGTGGTTTATTTCTCACATTTTATCCGAGAGCCAGCTGGCTACTCATAGCTGGAGGTGCGTCCTGCAACCCGCTGGAAAGCTGCCACACATCTGAGGGTTTGCAGGTGTCACTTTGGCTGAGCACTAAACATTTCTGGTGGAATTCCCACTTGGAGCCCCCCCAAAAAGCCCCAAACTCCGCAAAGTCATGGGAAATGTTTTCAGCCATGAGGTCATGCCAGCTCTGTCGTGATGTTGGCATGAGCCAACACTTGGGAACTTCCTGGGTCTTCTCTCCAGGCTCCCTTCCCAGCACGGCCAGGCAGGGCCACAGTCCCTGTGCCAACATACTCTTCTTTCCTCTTCTAGTTCTGTGCTGGGGACAATGTCACCGATGACTATGACTCCAACAGCACCATTGACTACAGCATGTTCGAGAACCTGTGTGAGAAGAAGGAAGTCAGGACTTTCCGTGCCGCCTTCCTCCCAGCCATGTACAGCATCATCTGCTTCATAGGGCTGCTGGGGAACGGGCTGGTCATGCTCACCTACATCTACTTCAAGAGGCTCAAGACCATGACTGACATCTACTTGCTGGTTCATAAAAATATGACTTTTCTGGAAAGGTTTCCCACCTGCTGACTCTCCCTTTCTGGGCCACGAGCGCAGCCAAGCACTGGCTCTTTGGGAAGTTTGCCTGCAAAGCTGTGTACTGCATCTGCAAGATGAGTTTTTTCAGTGGGATGCTGCTCCTCCTGTCCATCAGCATCGACAGGTACTTCGCCATTGTCCAGGCTGCCTCGGCCCACCGCCTGCGCCCCCGGATGATATTCCTCAGCAAGGTGACATGCATCCTCATCTGGCTCCTGGCCTTCATCCTCTCCATCCCTGAGCTGGTGCACAGTGGTGTGAATAACGTGGACACCCATCCCCATTGCTCCATCATCGCTCAGGACTTACAGTCCTTCAACACTGGCATCAAAGTGTCCCAAATGGTTTTTGGTTTCTTAATTCCCCTCGTGGTCATGTCTGTGTGCTACCTCATCATCATCAAAACGTTGCTCCAGGCCCGCAACTTTGAGAAGAACAAAGCCATCAAGGTCATCATCGCTGTGGTCATCGTCTTCATTGTCTTCCAGCTGCCCTACAACGGTGTCATGCTGGCCAAGACCATCTCAGCCTTCAACAACACCAGCTCGTGCGACGAGAGCAAGAAGCTCGACATGGCAGATGATGTGACCTACACCTTGGCCTGCTTCCGATGCTGCCTCAACCCCTTCCTCTACGCCTTCATCGGCGTCAAGTTCCGCAACGACCTCTTCAAGCTGCTGAAGGAGTTGGGCTGCCTGAGCCAGGAGCGCCTCTGGCAGCTCTCCTCCTGCCGCGAGAGCAAGAGGTTCTCCTTTGCCATGGAGACAGAGACAACCACCACCTTCTCCCCGTGAGCCAAGCTCCAGGCAGGCTTTGGCCGAGCTGGAATGGCTTTGAACACTTGCTCTATTCCAAACTCCTGGCAGAGCGAGACCTGCCACACTGCAGGGAAGGCGAGAGGAAAACCCCGGAGCCTCCCCGTGTTTCAGGCAGTGAGGACTGCTGGCCAGTATCCCATGGATGCAGAGACTCCAACAGAGCTGTCAGTAACAAGGGAGAGGTGGTGAGTCTACCATTTCTCCTGTCATTTCACCTTTAGTTTAGGCTTTCCTAGTGTGAATGAGAAATGCTCCAATCAGAACACTTTCCCTAGAAGCTACAAATACCAAGAGAAACAGAAGTTGGTGCAGTAGAACTGTTTGGTTTGGAGCTGAGCTTCCAGGAGCATCAGCCTTGCTGTGGATGTTGCTTTTAAGAAGACAGCCTGTTGCTGGGACACACCTACAGAAATACCTCTTGCACCAAGTCAAGCCGAGACAAACCAGCACCAGCAGCCTCAGGCTCAGACACTGTGGAGTATCCAAGCACATGACTCTGCTTTGCCCTTCCCCATGAAAACTGAGAAATGTCTATAGATACTACTAAATCCATACAAATCATAGCCATAATCTCAATTACTTTGTATAATGTTGTGGCCACTCATAGGTTTGTCAGGAAAAGCATAAGTTCCACTTCGCTGCTGCCTCTATCCTGTGCTAGACCTCAAGAGATAAACATGAATGTGGGTTTTCTCCTCCCTTCTCAACCTCTGTGTCCTTCTCACAGGACTTCAGCTGCCTTTGAGGTCAGCTCTGTACCTCACTCATAAGCTATCAGGACGTGTTTCTCGTTGGAGCTGGCGGCACTAACAAAGTCATCGCTCCCTGAGGTTTGATCTAAGCACAAAGGACAGTCACATGCTGAGGATCACTGCCAGGGTCATGGCAGCTGAACAGCAGATTATTGTCATGGAAAGTAAGACCTT